TGCCGTGGCCTAGGTTTCTCACTGAAAATCCTCGTCCCCTGGCGGCACCTTTTTTTGAATTTTCTTCCTTTTCCACGGCGTTTTTCGGGGATTTCGGATTTTCTTTGAATTTTTTCGCAATAATATTTGAAAAATAGATAAGTTTTAACACATTTTAATGCAAAAAATTTTTTGGTCGGAGTCCCCCTTTAAAAGGCCATGAATAATATTTCAGAATTCTTCTCTCCAACAAAGTCTGTAGGAAACTTAATGGAATCAAACTCCAACTAGATTGCGTCATTGGCCTAGTCCCTAAAGCCATCAAGCTGGAAATATTCCAAAATTTGTTGGGAGCTCTTGGTGATCTTCAAGACACGTTGGCTGGAATTTTGAAAAATGTAGGTCTCCGAATAGTTTTATTTACAAACTAAGTTTTCTAATTTGCAGTTCAAACAAGAAAACAATGAATCAGTGCTTGTTGTAAGTTAGGAACTTTTCCATCAGTTGAAAACAATACAATTTCAGGAAGGGATGATAAAATGGGCAGCAAACACAGGAACGGTTATTTCTTTTCTCACAGAGACAATCCTTAATTTACCTGGATATAGAATTGAGGAAGAGCAATTGGGTCCGATCGATGTGAGTTCGGCTTTTCTATACAATATGAAGCTCATACTTTCAGGGTCTTCTGAATCGCTCCATTGACGTCTACTCTCCAAAATTATTCTTCAATTTTGCACGAGTCATAGGAAAAACAGAAGAGACAATCGACTATAAGGAGGAAATTGAAGACCACCACCGTCATCTGGGAATCTTGATTGACGAGATTAGGAGTATGACCGAGTATAAATGACGCTCTTTGGACGGAGCTGACTAAAGATCATTTCGACGAATTCCCAATTTATTCAAAAACAATAAATATGTACAATTTATGCAAAACCAATAATCTATCTTCTCTTTTTCAAAATTCCAGAGAATATTCTTGGCTCGACCATAGTTGCACACTTCTTCTCCAATGACGGTAGCCCTTGCTTGGATGGGGATAACTGAAAATTTTAATTTTCGAATTCACCATCCCATTCTAATTATTTACCTCATATCGATTCAAAAAGTTGGCAATAAAAAGGAATAGTTCCATTCTAGCGAGTCCTTCTCCCAGACATTGTCGTTTTCCAACCGAGAATGGAACAAGTTGTTCTACCTTTTTCAATTTTCCATTCTTATCTATAAATCTCTCTGGCTTGAAAGATTCATGATGTGGGAATGTTTTCTCGTCATTCATAATAGTGCTAATTTGAGCGACAACTCCAGTTCCTCTAGGGATATGATACCCATTGATTACGGTATCCTTGGTGGTCTCATGTTGAAGGTTTAATGGGACAAGATTCGTGCATCTTTGAGTTTCCTGAAAAACAAATCTGATTAAAGGTGGAGGGACAGGAGATTTTTCGTAGTTTTTTTGTAGCTAGAGTATGCATTCTACCGTAACGGTGTACAACGCTTAATGTCACTCTGCGTACAGCTGTCGTCCTCGCCTTTATGTATGCAATCGGGCGGGCGCTTTCTCTTTGCCCGCGTGGCTCAGTCGGTAGCGGCGCCGCACCCTCAATCACCGCCCTCACAAGTTTAACTCCTCGAGAGGCATCTTTGAACGGAATTTCAAGAACATTATTTTTTTCATGTCCCCCCCACCTTTAAGCATACTGTAACTTGGACCAAAACTTACATTAATAAAAGCGTTCATATACGGTAAGTCATTCTTATCAGCGGTGGTGATAAGTCTATCGCTTGCTACGACTCTATCCAGCTCCTCATGGATCTTCATTTGCGCCTTTGGATAGTGCAAAATGTAACTCAATGCCCATGTAGTGGTGTTTGTAGTAGTGCCAAGACCAGCGAACCACAAATCCATCAGCATGTTCTCTAGTTGGATATTGCTGAAAAAGTGTTTCTTTTTGAGAGTGCTCAGAATTAAAGAGGAATTATCAGGAGCATTAGGGGTCATTAACTTTGACCCAGTTTATCTTGATTCCTGTTAGAGGCCCAGAAAAGTGACCAACTGATGAAATATTTATGAGATTGTTATAAACATTTTATCAGTTGAAACGCTTTTGATATCTTTCACAGCAACCGAGATAATTAAGCTCAAACGCGAATTTCAGGGGGACGTTTGAAGACTCTAATTAACTGGCTCAAAACAGTCAAGATATCTCATTGCCTGTAAGAGATATCAAAACATGGTCAACAGGCAAAAAATTTATCATAATATTAGCAACATTTTATCAGTTGACACCTTCTGATATCTTTCACAGCAACCGAGATAGAGACCTATTAGAGTGAATGCGGGTGAGCTACGCGGTTGCCAGCTCGGCTAGATACCGATGTCGTAAATGAAGAAGGGCGATATTTGAAACCCTCACTATCAGATTCATAGTCAGACTCACCTGAACGTCTCTTCGTCTCCTTCATTTTGTCTCTTCCTTTGCTCCTTCAGATATGTCTCTACATAATCCGAATTTTCAGATTCTAGATCTTCGAAATCTATCTGCTGTCTGTGCTTCTCTACTTGCCCCCGGAAAAATGCAAAAGCAGAGTCCCGAAAATCTTTGAAAGGAGCTTCGTACAACGATTCGGGCATTATTTTTGCCAGGATCGGAATGTTCATGGCCAAGAACATGTGAAGCTTTCCGAACAGTTCTGGAGGAGCATCGATGATTTGTTTGAGCTCTTGGAACTCGTCTTGTTTGGTCTAAAGAAAATAGATTTTGATACCCTGGGATGTTTGGAGTACCTCATCAAAGCGATACCCAAATAAAAGTTGATTGATGACATTCGCAATAGCGTTATCAAAAGTTGGTGGAATTTCCGTTTCTTTCCCTTCAGTAGCGTCAAATTTGGCAAAGACATCTTGAACTTCAAGTAGGATTTTTTCTTGCATCAGGTTCTTTCCCAACCCGAAATCTCTTAAACTAGTTAGCGCGAACCTACGATGGTCCCTCCATTTGACACCATTCGAGTCAATGACTCCATGATCTCCACCACGGAATAGGTCGAGTGCTGGGAGTCGAACTTTGTTGGTGTAGGTGTCGGCGTCTCGAATGAACGTTTCTTTCACTTTGTCGTATGTGTTGATCATGATATGGGGTTTGCTTCCTGCAAAATTTACTAATAACAATCACCAAATTATCTGTGTGTGTCAGGCCTGTGCGGCAACAAATTGCCGATTGCCGAATTTTTGTTGCCGATTTGCCGTTGCCGAAATCGGCAACGAAGAAAAAGTTGCCGAATTGCCGTTGCCGATTTCGGCAAAAAAAATTTCGGCAATATCGGCTACTGGAATTTTTTTGAATTTAGAGATTTTCACAATTTTTTAGTCAAAAAAATGATTTCGAAGTTCGAAAAATCAAATTTTGAATATACCATCATCCCTCAGAGTGAATTTTAGAGGAAATGTGTCCCAATAATCATCAAAAATACTTGCATCGGATCTAAAAATGGGCTTCAAATTTGTGAGCATAGGAGAAAAATAGATATCATGAGTCACAACTCATCAAAAAAAATTATCCAATCTGTCTCAAATCTCTAGGGAACGTGTGTCGTGAGTTGCCTAACAAGTTGAGCGCACTATTTTCAAAACTCACAATCGGAACAAATATTTTCAACCATTGGAATACCCTCTATTGCTAAAGAGAAATAGTTTGTATAAAAAATGTTGTCTTGAGTTGCCAATTTTTGTAATTACTTTTTTAAGGAACTTATGAAACACATTTTCCGTAGTTCTGAGCCTGATAGAAGCATTTTCAGGTGAGTTACGTATCCATTTTACTAAAAAAAGACGCAAAAATTTTGTTGCCGAAAATTGCCGAAAGTTGCCGAAATTGCCGAAATTTTTTTTCGGCAATTGCCGAGTATTGTGTGTTTTCGTTACACTTACCAATCCAAAATGTATACACATCTCCATACTTCTTGGTCCATCCTTCAAATGCAGCGTATCCAGGTGGTGGGCTATTAATAGACAATAAATTCCCAAAAACTGGCAATGGACATGGACCAGGTGGTAGATTCCGACGCTTCCAATACAATTCATAGCCCAAATAGACAGCGAACACTGTGAAGAACAAAATCACAAACATTGTAGACTGAAAATATAGAAAACACGAGGATGTTTGTGTTTTATATAATGAGGAGAATTGTATTCCATGGTTTCTGACACGAGAATGAGACACAGACCACAGTCTTTTTCAGATCAGTAGATAACAGTAGAAGGAAGTTAGAGAGTATGGGGTAATTGAGACGCAGAGTGAGAGGCTGTGTTTCGTAGTTTCTGCCTCTTAAAGTGTTTTGATGGTGATGAGATGGAGTATTAGTTCGAATTATCGACGATCTTTGTTTTAAGAAAACTCTGCTTGGAAATGTGACTCTGATGTATGGCGAACAGTTCTGATAAGTGATTCTTGAAAGTTGATTGTGTGATACCTGAAGTTTGACCCAACTTAACTCGGTTACTGTCATAGATATGAAAAAGTTGTCAACTGATAAATCGTTTCTCATAAAATCACCAACACTTTATCAGTTGACTATTTTTTGATATCTTAAACAGGAACCGAGATAAATTGGCTCAAAAATACTGTAGTTCCTTTATGCGTTTCTAAATGCGCCTTTAAACAGTAACCTAGCTTTCAACGTTCATTGATTGCGGACAAGAGTGATAACACAATAATAAGAGTTTGGAGTATTTATTTTCAGATATTCGAAGATTTTATTACGAAAAATATATTATCAATATTATCTTCTTCGCTTCAAAACGGCTGAAAACAGTCTAGTCTCAATTCTGGAGATACTGCTCTTGTCCATAGATGGAAGTCCATTTTTCGAAGGTGAAATCTTAAAGTTATTCTTTTTTTCTTTACAAAAACTTTTGATTACGGTACCTGATACCTATTGAAAAAATTGGAGATGAATAGAAATAGCTCCATTCTGGCAAGTCCTTCTCCTAGACATTGCCGTTTTCCAATCGAGAATGGAATCAGCTCTTCGACCTTTTTGAGTTTTCCATTTTCATCTAGGAATCGCTCCGGCTTGAATTTTGTGTGCTCTGGGAACACCTATTCGTCATTCATGACAGTACTAATTAGTGCAACGACTCCGGTTCCTTTAGGGATACTGTAACAATTGATAACGGTGTCACGAGTGGTCGCGTGTGGAACGTTCAATGGGACTAGATTGGTGAATCGCTGTGATTCCTGGAAAAAAGTTTAGGAATTTTTTAGCTTGTAAAAAGAGCTCACATTGATATATGCATTCAAATACGGCAAGTCATTCTTATCAGCAGTTGTTATCAGTCGATCACTTCCAATGATTCTATCCAATTCCTGATGAATCTTATCCTGAACTTCTAAATTCTGAAGAACAAAACTGATTGCCCAGGTGGTAGTGTTTGTTGTAGTTGCAAGTCCGCCAAACCATAGATCTATGCACATATTTACCAATTGGATATCCCTAAAAAATTAGAAATTAGGTACCGCGAAACCTGTAATAAAAGGGCCCCTCACTTTGACCCAGTTTATCTCGGTTCCCGTAAAAGATATCAAAAAGTAGCTAACGGAAAAAATATTTTTAACGTTGTGATAAACATTTTGTCAGTTGACCACTTCTCGATATCTTTTACAGAAAATGAGATAGATGGGGTCAAAGTTGACGGCTTGCGAAGGAAGTTACGGTAGACGTATATATTTGCTCTAATTGAAGATCACCCCTGTTTGAGCTCAATTATTTCGGTTTATATGAAAGGTATCGAAAATCTGCAAATCAATAAAATATTGGTGATATTATGATAAATGATTTATCACGGTTTTTGTTTTAAATAAACTCTGCTTGGAAATATGACTCTGATGTATGGCGAACAGTTCTGATAAGTGTTTCTTGAAAGTTGATTTTTTGATACATTAAGTTTGACCCAACTTAACTCGGTTACTGTCATAGATATGAAAAAGTTATCGATTGATAAACTGTTCATCATAACTTTTGATGAGTTAACTACACACGAATCTGTCTTATTTATACTTGAGTGGAGATAGAATTACTTTAAGGTTTCCCTGATCATCCTACACACTATTTCATTGGGTTGGAGGAAGTCAACAGGGAGGGAGAATGAATAGTGAAGAGACGCAGACGCGGTCAACACATCGTTGTGCAATATTACCACAGTGTTAGATCAAGAATCACATTTTCCCTAAAGAAACACTTTGTTTTCTGACTTTTTAAATTCCCTCCTTTTTTCAAAATTGAAAAACATTGATATTTGTTTACCTACTACCTACTTCCTACATATAAATGGGTACTAATGCAAAAAAAGGCATTTTCTAAAATAACTTTTTTCAAAATAAAATAAAAAAAAGAAAAAGATCGGTGCCTCATGCTGGAATCGAACCAGCGACCTTCTGTTTACTAGACAGACGCTCTGCCACTGAGCCAATGAGGCGACAAAGAAGTGGGCTTCGCATGACGTATGAAAATGCGAGAGAAAGGAGGAGACGAGAGAAGTGAAGGGAAAGAGATGTGGAGGGAGAGCTGATAAGCGAAAATAGCCTACGAAAAACCAAAATTGAATATTTATTGTTTCCAGAAGACCAATTTTTTAAATTTTCTTTCAGTATTTCTCCTTGTCATTTAACTGTTATTAGCTACAGTAACCGTTTTGTTGATATGGCTAGTTTATTCTTCAAAAAAAAACACATTTATCAGTTAACCCGAACTTCGGTGATCTTCCTTTTCGAATTCCGACCCATTGTTCGACTATTTTCTACAGTACTAGATTTTTTTCCTTTTTGCATTTTCCGATAAACCAGGAATGCTTCAACAGCACATCCGAGTAGTTTTGCAACTGTTCCATACGGTCCAATGTTCTTCAAAACGAAAAATTATGGTTTAGGAAAAATGCAGGTAGTACCTGGAAACTGAAAAATTGAGTTGTTGAGAATTGATTTGCAATGAAACTGGGCATAAAATCAAACATAAACACCATGGCTGAATCAATAAGTGCAAGACGATTAGCCTGAATATTTTCAGATTCTTCATTAACAAAAAAAAAAGAACAACTGAGCTCACTCTTGAAAGTTCGACTTTTCCAGTTTTCATTACATTGTTAATGATAAATAACTTAATACACAATAGCAAAGAAAATACAAAGTTCAATGCGAAAATTGTCTGAAAAACATAGAATCATTATTGCCAACTTTCAAGAGAGCTTACAGATTTATGAGTGGTCCAATAGTACAAAAAACAAGAGTTTATAGCGCAACCAAAGGTAGCGCAGTTTTTGGGAACATTCAGATGAAAGTTGCAAAACTCGTATAGAACCACGTCTTCCGTCAAACCGAAAATCACTGCTAGAATAAGAATGATGACGGTTGGACAGCGGTGGCGATAGTTGTGAAAGAATATTGGGGCATAGGCGGCCTTAAAGGCAGCAAATACGCTCTATTGATAAGTCTAAAAACCTGCTCACCACCATTCTCTCAATTGCCACTGACAGTGTCACTATAGACCGACATGCTCCAACATTTGACGCTGGTAACGATAGATAGAATATGAAATTTTGATATTCAGAAAGTTCACTGGAAAAATATGAATACAGTACTGCGAATAGTAGAGAAGCAGCAACCAGTGCTCCTAATATCACATCCAAAGTGAATCGGTAGTAGAATAGAGCCATGTCATTTTTCTTTCTGAAAGGAAAATGTGAATGTCCAAAATGTCTAAAATTAATTTCCAGACTCACTTCATATAAGTTTTTAATAGTATAACATTCGTGAAACATGTGACAAGAGAGGATATAATTCCCACTACCGAAATCGCCACCGCCGATGTATTCATTCTAATCTGCTCATCGGTTTGTTGGTCCATTTCTGAAAATTATGAAATATATAATTGGATTTCATAGAAAATCAGAAGAATCGAGATTTCAATTAGACCAGCGCTTCAACGCGGAACTTTATTCAACTTCGTCTCGCGTCGATTTTCAATGCAAAGTACAGCCTAGAAGTCAACTGAAAATTATCTTTCGACCTAATTTTCTCGAAGCTCACTGCCGTTTCGCAAAAACAGAAAACATAGTCCGAATCAAAATTTTATGGGCTTTCTAATGATATAGGTCATGAATTGTAACTCGGAATCATGCTCAGTTAACTCCCTAGTCAGTTCTGACTAGCTTGTATGGACTACGAAGACTCTAGAATCAACTCTAGATGCATTCAATGGATTTTGAATTAATTTCGAGACGTGATCGATCGCTCAAAGGATAATTTCCAGTAATAAAAGGTCTATATGTTCAGAGCTCAAAGGTGAGAAATTCATTTTAAAAATCAAGATATGATGCGGGCCTGATGGGTCGCTTTCCGGTTAGCGGGTAGGTTGCGTGGACCAATCAGTCCGTTTTATAGTAAATACGCTAGGGCAACTTGGTCGCCTTTTCCTAGAAAAACTTTATTCAAAATTTTGCGGTCGACCGTGTCACAGCGTCCAAGCACAAAAATTGATGAGCTCAAAGATGCTCTGGTCAAAGTCAGAACAACAATTTTTGGAAAAGATGTTACAATTCAACAATTTTTGATTTTTGAGAGGTTCAAGAGATCAAATTTTCAAAATTAAAATGTTTCCTACCTGTCTGATCGCATCATTTTTCAACACCACAACTGGAACACTCACCATCCAAAGAAAACTTCCGTTATATAGATTTTTGAGACCCTGGAAATCTAGTTAACATATTTTTCAGCGATTTTCCGGAACACAAAGGAAATGATAGCAGGATAAAATGAAATTTACGTTAGATTTAAGTCTGGGGGAAAGAGATAAAACAAAGGGTGTGTTTTGAACACTAACGAAAAATAAAGATAGTTATTCTCGAAACTTTAAAAAAAAAGAAGAGTGACTTGTCAGTGGAGAGGGAAAAACTTGGGCAAAAAAAGTGTCCACTTAATTAGCAATTGACGAGACCAGGGACGTTTTTTTTCATTGTGTTATCTTTTTTCAGGAGATGATCGATCACATTTGGGATTCTG